ACAGCCAGACAGTTAATCACAGCAACCAAATGCATGGAGAAGAAGCATCAATATCACTTCTTTGTGTGGTCCTAGAAAATACCAGCAATATATATTATATTAACAAACTTTATTTGGCCTGGGAGAGGCAAGACCTTTTAAAAATAAAACATGGGTTCTCACATTCACTTCTTCCCAGGCTACATATTTATCCTAAATGCCACCATTGACATTTCTTTAGTGGTTGCTATTGCTCTCTCTGAAGTCCACTTAACATACCAACATCCTTAAACAGTTAGGATGATTAGTGAATTTTTTTTTAATAATAAGCATGGAAATGAGAATGCAAAAGTTAGACTTAAGCAAAAACAAAAAAAAAAGATAGCGAATTAGAGAAGTGTTTGATTCCATCTTCATCCCTCTACTTGAACATGACCTCAAACATACTGTTTGATCTTCAGAATAGCTCCCCAGGGCCCTGATCTGAGCTTCGTTTTCAGTTTAACTAGGACATGATGTCCATGTGGTTGTTAAGTGGAGTCGGTCAAAGATTTAAGACATTGTTTACCTTCATAGCTGCTGTTCAAAATATTTAGCATGTTCGTTGAGTGCTAACAAATTGTATCCGGTTTCTTGAAACAAATTAAAAAAAAAAAATCTATATCAAATGTACCCTCCCTTTATTAAGATATGGTGATTATACTTGCTACATTTTCACATTAATCTGCTTAAGTATCACTTTGCAAACTGTTGGTTACAATAAAAGTATAAAAATGTGCTTCTTATACAATGGATTGCAATAGCATTCATGCCAATAGAGTCTTTGCACATTTTACCGTTTCAGGGATTTTATGTGATGGACACAGTGGTGTACAACCGCAGTGAAATAATTGATTTTTATTTCCAAAAAAACGTGGTACAACTACATACCTGTCAAGACATCACATCCACTCAAGCTGACAGAGGAGGCAAAGAGAAGCTTAATCAGAGAGGGACCTGATAAATTTGGAAGAGCTGCAGAGAGCCACAAATTTCTCAACAATAATTATTTCATCTTCCAGCTGGAAAATGGCTCTGAAACATACAGCCACAGCCCCTATGGACTGGTTCCAATGAAGACATTTTTATGAAAATGTTAATTTGTGTTGTCTGGACAAAATGAAAATTTGTGGCTGGATTTAAACATCAGCATTTACAAATCCTCTCCATTTCATTTATTTCATCAAAAAAGACAAAAAAAAAAAAAAAAATCAGTTATTATGCATGTGCAGAAAAAAAAAACTCACCATAGAATGTAAATGAAAGTAAATAAAAAGCTGTAGGTTGAAGCCAATACTTACTTAGAGACACTGTGCAGATGCCCAATTCATACAAACAGTGATCAGGAAATTATCTTTTTTTGTCTTCCAGATGCGAATTGGTCTCCACAGTGGGTCAGTGTTGGCGGGTGTAGTTGGAGTGAAAATGCCCCGCTACTGCCTTTTTGGGAACAATGTTACATTGGCAAACAAGTTTGAGTCATGCAGCCAGCCGAGAAAAATCAACGTCAGCCCCACAACGCACAGGTAAACACGCGTTACAAGCAATAATGATCACAGGGAGTTTTTACAGCAACCCCTGAAGTAATTGCTTTAACCTTTGTATATACTATTATGTGTGTAGTATCATTTATTTTTTACCAGAGACATGGAAAGAAAAAAAAAGCTTTAAGTGCTTTTGACAAGATACTTAACTTTTAGGAGGGAGCTGTATATCCTCTTGTGTCAAATAATTTGCCACATTGTTTTTAGACTCATGGTTTATTTGTATGTTCTTCGTCCCAGATTGCTGAGAGGTCGCCCAGAGTTTGTCTTTGTTCCCAGGAGCAGACAGGAGCTTCCGGCCAACTTCCCAGAAGACATCCCTGGTGTTTGTTACTTTCTGGAGGCAGCCTTCAAAGTTTCAAAACCGACGACAAACTGAAGCCAAACTTCTACGTCCAAAAATATTAGATAAGGTTAAATGAAGAAAACAGTTGTATCGTATAATTTATTCTGAGTCTTTATCATTGTTTTCAAGTGAAACTATCACAGCAGCTGGTTAAGTCATAGAAATGTCAGTTTATTGTCAAACATGTCCTGTCTGTGCTATTATCCATTTGTGCAGTTGTTGTGGAGATTAACCGGTTTCATCTTTCTTCCACAATGAGTCATTGCTGCATTTTGAGATCTTTGGAAAAATTGTGCTCGCATCAGATATGTTGACAGTCAAGACAAGACTTTGGGACTGTTTTGTTCTTTTTTAAGGTAAAAACTAATAAATGTGGACACTAAAAAAAGCACAAAAATGCACACACTATTAACTTATAAAATATGTTTATGATGTAGCTACAGACTTTACTACGAATGGTCAAAGATCTAATTTGTTTATGTGGCACTTTTTAAAAAAAAAAAAAAACAGCTTTACAATCAATGGTGCGATTATTTGTATTCAGTCGTCAGAATTGTTTAGTCCCATGTTGGAAAGTGCAGTGGAACTCTTTCCGAACTTACAATTACAACTTAGAACATTTATTTATTCAAAACACAGTCAAAGTTGCAAAAACAATCTATGAATTTGCATTTCTGACAGTACTGTACAATTTATGTTTATGAGCAGGTTCCTTTAATGTTTGAATGAATTGCTAATCATGGCATCAGTAGACAAAATAATACTTGCACTGGCTTTATGCCTTTCAAATAAAACTAAATGTTAAAAGTAATTCCTGTATCTGAGTTCTGACATCCATGACAAATTTTATGCACCAATTCAACTTATACATGAAGGTAGTGATTATATAATTATGCGATTTTTTTTTAATTTATTTATTCTACCTGCCAAAGCACAAAGACAATATATTTGACAAGATTTCTTTCAATCAAAGATATCCACCAAAAAGGATACTTAAGGATGCAGAACTCACTTTTATGAAATTCTGTTAATGCAGAACAGATTAAGGTGCCTTATGGGAATGCCACAGACATGTGCCAAGTAGACGAGGATTTTTCAATCATACATATAATCAATAAAGATTATAATTCACTTTAAAATAGACTAGAGTGATATATGAATGACATTTCCCCCACTAGTGGAATAATAGAAGTGTTTATCTAACTGTGTGTGGCTTGTTGACACAAAGAATTGTCTTCATATTAGTTCCATAAAAAGGTATGCTTTTGCATTTGTACTCATCCTACTGTGCACATCTGTAACATATTTATTACATGAGTTGTAAACACACCTTTAATATACAGAGGAAATATAACACAGGACGAGTTCAATGAATGTCTTTCTACCACTCACAGCAATGTGCTTTAATTATTGTTATATATCAAAGTGCAATAAATATTGTCATGAAATATTGTGGTTGATTTTGTTCACTCAAGAAATTAAGACAGTTTGCACAAAGCCTCATAAAACAGATTATTGAAAATATATTTTGGTTTTTATTAAATAAATAAGCAGTAAGTACAGCATAATGCTAAAGCAGAAGTAAAGTTGAACAAGGTTTTACAAATTGTTTAACAAATAAAAGTAATAATAGAATTTTGTTCCAAAGGATTAATACTATAGCTGTAGTTACAGCTATGTGTCTTTTGAAGTCACTTCCAGCTTTGTCCATCCAGAGACTGAAATGCTCTTTTTTATATAATTTCTGCTCAGATTTGAAGGAGAGCATCTGTAAACATCAGATTTCAGGACCAGAAGCAGATTCTCAACTAGATTCAGATCTGGACTTTGACTGGACCATCCCAATACATTAATATACTACCATTATAACTGAATGTTTAGCGTGAGGACATTGATCTGTTGCAAAGTGACCTCCATCCTAATGTCAAGTATTTTGTAACCACTAACGGGTTTTCTTCCAGCACTGCCTTACTTTTATCCCCATCTATTGTTGTAGAAGGAAATGTTGATGACTGGTGAAGAAAAATATCCACACTGCATTATTGTGCTGCTGCCATGTTTCCATAAAGCTTTCATTTTGGTCTTATCGGACCAAAGAAAGCATCTTGTGTATTTGTTTTGTCTCCTTCATGACTTTAAGTTAAGTGCAAAAACAACTTCTGATGGCTTTCTTTCAACAATCCTTTCCTCGTTGCCAATATCAACTATTAGTGCAATGGTTATCTTGACAACAGATTCCCCTACATGAAATGTGGATCTCTGGAGTTTCTTAAGCGCTATCATGGGCCTCTGGGCTACTTCTCTTAATAACACTGTCCTTGCCTGTTAGTTTAGGTGTCGTACTCTTTCCAGTGTCAGATGATGGCTTGAACAGGGCTGTTTGGAACATTAATTAAAAGTCATAACCTTGCTTTAAACTTCCCCACAACTTCATCAATGAGCAGCAAGTGTTTAGTCTTCATGATGGTGACACAAACCTTTGAGGCCACAGAAAAAATATTCATACTCGGATCAAATACCACCGAGATGGACTCTTTTTTTGCTAATTGGACATCTTCTAAAAACAATCATTAGATTAGAGAAGCTGGATACAAGCATACCAAATGTGAAGTTGTTTTTTTTTTCTTGTTTGTTTGTTTTGTTCTCTGTCAGGTATATTTTTTTATTTTTCCCAAATCACGATTAAGCATATTCCACAAACTCACAAAAAACTCAAAGACGTTTGTGGGTACAACGTATTAAAATACATTAAAAAAAAAAAAATATATATATATATATTTTTTTTTTTTTTATTTTTTTTTTTTTATTATTATTATTATTTTTTTAAGGGGTACTTTGGCAATGTATTGCTAACATTCCTTTTACGCCTTAATATCTTACAGCTTACAATAAAGGCGGCATCGTAAATATAATCACATATTTATTACAAGATTAAACATCCACATATAAAGCAGGTGCCAAGAAAAACAAACATCTGCGAGAATCGCAGGTTGACTAGCATCATTTGTAGTACGCTACCTTCCTCTCGGTTTTGATTGGTCAATCACAGCTGACGTTATATTATTCCTGATATGCTATTGGACAGATCTGCTGTCCGTAAAGTGCTGGCAAAAATAGTTGGGATGGACTCAGAGGCTCTCAGCATCTGGACCAAACCATGAAGGTTTTGCTTAATTCAGCGGTTTTTTATTGAAAAATAAAGAGGCAGAAAAGCAGCGCTCACCATGGTACGTACACATTGACTTCTCTCTTCTATCTGAATGCTGAGAAAATTTGGTTTTCGCCTCGTAGTCCAACCTATAAGCGTTTGACATTTCCTGTTGGGAGAACAGCGGTTACAAGCTACAGTAACTGAATAACATTGTAGTGCTATCCTAAACAGGTGGATACAATATGCACATATTTTACCAGCAGATATCCTGCATGCATAAGCTATATATAGACATACCTAGCTGTTGGAAACTAATTGCATGGAATAATATTGACGTTGGTCCTTTTTTCCCTTCGTTTCTAGTACGGGTTTGTGAATCACGCCCTGGAGCTTCTGGTTTTACGGAATTACGGCCCAGAAGTATGGGAAGACATCAAGTGAGTTGTGTTTGTGCTGCTTTCAGATGATTTTTCCGCGTAAAGCAGGCTCAAAAGCACTGAATTACTACAGAGTGCCTTCATATTTGCTTGTTAGTTAACGCTGTAATAACAGCAAGTCTTTCAAATGGCTTATTAGAGAGAAAATTAAAGTAGATTTCAATTGATAGAAATGATCTGTGTTGGTTTAGAAATATAAAGTAACGGCATTTTAAAATAGAATCTATAAGAGATCATCTTTATCTTTTTCTAAACATTTCAAGAAATTTTCAGTCTATGTCCTTTGATAAATGTTCTACTTTTTTAGTTAAATTACGACCACTTAATTGACAATAGAGCTCTCTTTTTAATATTATTTTTATTTGAAGTTTCATATGAATCATTCATACATCCATTATGTTCTTAATAACAGCAGTACAAGGCACACTTATATAGCTAAAGTTTGTATGAACCAAAGACTTTTGGTATTACAAATTTATTCTGGTATTTACCCATATGTGTCTTTAAAAAATGGAATTAATAAACTAGCTAATTAAGTTACAATTTTATTTTAGCACTGACTTAAACAATTTAGTCACTTAATTCCATCATTTAAGTGAAATCAATTATTTTTTTCATATTACATCAGTTATTAAACCTTAATTTTTGGATCTTTTTCATTTGCTGTTAGTTGATCATACAAGAAGGTTGGACACAATTTTAGCACCGCTAAAATCACTGCTTTGTGTCTTTCTGCATGGAGTTTGCATGTTATCCCCATGCATGCGTAGGTTCGCTCCTGGTACTCCAGCTTCCTCTCACAGTCTAAAAATATTAATGACAGGTTAAGTGGTCTAATGATTTTCTGTAAATTCTGTCGATTAAATATAGTCCTCCGTTAACACACTTTCAGTGAGTCTCAAATCATTAAGGAAATAATTTCTTCTTACCTAAGAATAATATTCATCCAGTGGTGGAATGGAAGAGATAAAGGAATAGATTTTACTCTAATTAGGTAATCATAATGTCAGACAAAAACCTTTCTGTTTTGACATCAAATATAAATATAATTATCATTATTTGCTGGAATGCACACTGTTTGAACAATTTAACCCCTTAACTGTTGCCCTCAAAATGTTTCCATGTAAGTCAGTGAGTTTAGGTATTGCTGGACGTCCGTCTGAGCTGCATGTTGCAAACCTGATATGCTGTGTTGCATGTAAAGAAGGTAATTTCTGTGCGATCATTGTAACAAGTAAGTATAACAGTAACATTTTTCAGCGTGTTGAAAAATTTGGCTCAGACTAGGTTTGTTTTTTTTAATCTGACTGAACTCAAATTGACCCATCCTAAAATAGAAGGTAAGGGAAACGAGAGCAGCAGCTGCCTTGTGTAAATGTTTTTAAAGTAGTCAGCCAGTACAAAAAAAAAAATAAATCTAATGTGCACGGATGTGTGCGATGACTGCAGATGGGACTCACTTTTAGCTAAAGCGCAGCTTGTAAAATTTTGCTCTTTTTCTTTCAATGTTATCACAAGCTGACCGAAGCAAGACTGAATTCTTGTTTTCTTTGCAAAACATTTCAAGGTCTGGTATGTTTTTGCAGCTGTAGCACATTCTGATAAGACTGCGGGTTGCTCGTCAGGCCTGTAAATCATTTTGCTTCCCTTATTGTAGCTAAACACCACCACTGATTTTCAAGGGAAATTTAAAAAATAACGACAAAAAAAAACATTTTTATTACACTATAATGTTAGTTAAGACCTTACAGACCAACGTTTCCAATAAAAGACAAATATTTTGCTATTTAGCCATTCTATTAAAAGTAGAAAATAAAGTCAAAGCTGCTTGCTGAGATGTTTTCCTGTGACAGTGTTTCTGTGTTTGCAGGAGGGAAGCTCAGCTTGACATTGAGGGTCAGTTTCTTGTTCGAATCATATACGAGGATGCTAAGACGTACGATCTTGTTGCAGCTGCAAGTAAAGTTCTGAGTAAGTGACTGTACATTTTTTAACTGCTGGAAAGTGACTAAAAGGAAATAATTCATAACGTGCAGACTGAATCACATGGTCAGGCATGAGTATGTTTTCATCTTGTTTTTCAGAGGTCGATGCAGGCGAAATCTTGCAGATGTTCGGAAAGATGTTTTTTGAATTTTGCCAGGAGTCAGGCTATGACACCATATTGCGTGTGCTGGGCTCAAATGTTCGAGAGTTCCTGCAGGTAGGCTCTTGCAGAGAGTTAATGCAAAACCTTTTACGTTTTTGACTTGCAACAAAAACTGTGAAACCTATGTACTTAAAATAATACGGTCTTAGTGTGAAAAGCATTCTCTGTGGTTTGGTGATGCTTTATCATCATGGTAAAGCTGGTGTAAGGCTTTATAACTTTATAACCTCAAGAAACAACACAACCGCACCTGTAAATGCCACTTAGAAAGGCCTGACCTGAGAATTTACCCAGAAGGCTTTGGACTGTAAAGCAGCAGCAGCAGTAACTCTTGCAGTCATTCCTCCATCATAACCTCCATCTTTAAAGTGCAATGTTGCTCTTCACAAAAAATAAAGACTAGTCTTCCTTGCAACCAGAAATAAGTCAACAAAAAACTCTTCAGTTGATATTAAGTTTTGGTTTGTAGTTAAAATTTTCAGAAGTGCTGAATTGAGGGAAATTAAGGTGCTTTACATATCCTTCCAAATTCATTGTCATTTTTGCTGTAGCTGTATGGAAAAGAAAAAATCCAGCCCAGACATTTTTTTGCATTTTTATAACAAGGAAAAAAATAATTAAAATATATATATATATATTTTTTTCCATCTATAAAAAGTTAAGATGTTCCTTTTTTTTTTTTTACTTTATTTTCTGTATTGTGCAACCACAAAACAACTACGCGTGCAAACATCTCGCTCACTGGGAGCTGCTGCATGCTGCGAGCCACTAACTGCACAGCGGTTACTGTGAGGCAGAAATGCCGCAGCTGCTCAGCAATGAAGGGGAAACAGTTCCTAAGCAATAAAGTCTTTGTTTCGTGTCAGCAGTAACCTGACAAATAATTCAGAGTAGGTGAATATGTGTGTTTTTCTGGAGATCACATCACAAATGGTTAAATTAATGAAAGAAACAACTAGAAAATTCAGAGCAATGCAAGGTCATCATTTTGATGAGGGTGTGTTATTCTGTTAAAGAACAGCTCCTTTTCTGCTCCGCTATGCAGGATGTCCTCTGCGGTTCAGTCATAAATAATAAACAAAGTTTATACTATCAAATCAAAACCTCCTGTTGATTACAATTTCCTGTCGCACAGCCTGGTGGAGGGAGTGTAGTGCGTCCCTTAATGTTGTTGTATGTTTTATGTGGCTTGGTCCCTTACTCTGTGAGGTGAAGTAGTCGCAGAGCTAAAGTTGAATACACAGCTACACGGTGATGGGAAAATACTTGGATACTTTTAGAAATTCTTCTGTTCAAATACAACATTTTGTGTTTGCTGCATTTAAGATAAAACCTGTGTCATAATTGTTTACGCAGGTTTCCCTGCTTATTAAAATGTGAAAATGAATTATCTTATTGTGACAAAAGAATCTGAATATTGTCTTTTTTCCACAAGAACTATATATTTCACGGCCATCTGCTCTAGAATAGCCAACAGAGCCAAAGAGAGGACTGAGAACTCACACAGATATTCCATAAGGAGTTGTAAACAAAGAAGAAGAAAAAAAACAAAACGTAAACCATTACTTCCCTCTAGTTTACTGTGATTATTTGTTGAATTTTTCATCTGAATTTGCAGAACCTGGATGCCCTACACGACCACCTGGGCACCATTTACCCCGGGATGAGGGCCCCGTCGTTTCGCTGCACCGACGCAGAGAAGGGAAACAACCTGATCCTCCACTACTACTCAGAGAGAGAAGGATTGCAGGATATTGTGATTGGCATCATTAAAACAGTCGCTCAACAAATCCATGGCACAGAGATAGAGATGAAGGTCAGCGTCGTTATTTTCCTGCTCTGGCGAAAGACACCGCACGCTAATGGTCCAGTCTGCTTCTGCTGCTTCTGCTGCTGCTGATCATGATGATAAATGAAGCTGACTTAAAGCCCCCTTCTGATTTATGGCTACAATGTTCAATAAGGCTTTTGAAGTATCTGTGGTGCTTTGTATAAGAATGTGACAGTTTATGACTCCAAATATAATTGAAGAGGATCTGATGTAGGAATTAAACAGAAGATTCCCCTCCCCCCCAAATACTCAAACGGAAATGCTGTGATAAATGCAGCTCAGTTTTTGGCTAATGCCAGTGAGTCAGAGGATATTTTTAGATCTAAGTTATAGAGTCACAGGCAAGAGACTGGCTGCCTTTTCAGGGTTTTTTTTTTTTTTGTTCCTCTGTCTAGTTTAACTTTGTCTAACTTTTACAGCACATAAAATAGATTTAGACTGGCTAATTGGATATTGACTAAGAAGAATAAGCACCTGTCACGCCTAATGTCTCAACTAGGTGGTATTGGTATTTTTAATCGCATTTTAATGTTCACCCGACAGATCCCATTCATCCGGTCACAGAAGCTTGTCGTTTTCTTTTTTTTTCCTTCTCAGACATCCAGTGAGCTTGCATGGATGTGCCTCCTTATTACAACAGTGACATTTTCTCCCAGACCTAATCATGTTGGGCGGACAAGATAATATTTTTTCAACCGTTGTGTGTGCTGTGAAAGAACAGAAAATGGCAGACGCTCCAAATGTGACACCCAATTTTCTGAAAATATTAGCCACCGTTGCTGTGGAAACAGGGTGCAGAGACAGCAGCTCGACGTCAGTACGCCTTATGCTCATAAACCCACAGAAATGCCATTTATTGCCCTCCTGATTTAATATGGAAGACATGAAATTAATGATTCCCTCATTTAGTTTTTGTAAGGAGCATTGATCATCTTTAGGATATATTTTAGTTTTTAATTGTATTATTATCCTTTATTTACTTCTTATGCACCTTGAACCCCCATATCTTTCAACCTTTTTTTTTTTATTTGGTCAGTTTACTTGTATAGCAATACCTATCTTTAACTCTTACAGTTAAGGCCAAAATTACTAATACCCCTGACATTTCTAGACTTATTTTCCTCTAACCAAGAGTATATATAATAGGCCAATATGGTTGAAGAGACCACAAGGGTTAAAGCCGTGTTGTAGATCGTTCTTTAAGTGATGGATGCTCTTGGTGCAGGTGATCCAACCGAAGAGTGAGGAGTGTGACCACATCAAGTTTCTGATTGAGGAGAAGGACTCTGAGGAGGAGGCGTTCTATGAAGATCTCGACGGTTTTGAGGAGAACGGCACACAGGAGACTCGGATCAGCCCATACACGTTCTGCAAGGCCTTTCCGTTTCACCTCATGTTTGACAAAGACCTGATGCTCACACAGTGTGGGAACGCCATATACAGGGTCCTGCCGCAGGTGTGCATTCACATCCAGCCAACACGGCGCACGCCACTGTAAAATGTGGGATTTGATATTAAGTCAGCACTTGGTTGTTGTTTTCCTTTGCTGTATCGGCACAATAACAGTTTAATTTCTCTTTGTGCGACGTGCAACTAACTCTAAATTGAAAATGTTGTTTTGTTCCTCAGCTCCAGCCTGGTGCCTGCATCCTCCCTTCCGTTTTTTCTTTGGTTCGTCCGCACATTGACTTCAGCTTTCACGGCATCCTGTCCCACATCAACACTGTGTTTGTTCTGCGGAGCAAGGTAGATGTCAGATATCAGAAAGGGCTTTATTTAAGTCCTGCTTTTTGTTCTGAAACATGTCTATATTTTGCTTGCAAAGGGCCTCGCAAAAGTATTCAACTTTTTCACATTTTGTCATTACAAATTGCAACCCAACAGTATATTCTATGAGGAGTTTATGTGGTAGGTGAACAGAACAATTTGCAATTACTTATGCACATAAAAATCTCAAGAGTTTTGTTCAGCCCTATGGATAAAATTTAGTGCAATCAGTTGCGCTAAATTCTGCATGTGAACGAAAAGCATAACTGAACATAATGTGGGGATTTTGTTCTTTGGGAACAGGGAAACTGGTAAAAGTTGACTGCAAGGTGTTTTGAGCTAAATATAGGACAATCCTGGAAGAAAACCTGCACAGAGCTGCATACAACTAATGACTGGGGCTTAATACAGATACATGCCACACTTTTCAGATGTTTATATATTTTTTTTACTTTTAAAAAATAAAAATAAACTTTCTTTTTTACATTTTCTAGTTGCTGAAAACAAATGATATTTTTTCTTCCATCTCAACAGTTATCTGCTGGTGTGTGATGATCTGTAATATAAATATTTCAAGAACATAAACTGATGTCTGTAGTTGTAACATGACAAAATGTGCAAAGTTAAATACTTTTGCTAGGTACTGAATACGAATAGTTTTCTAGAGAAATCATAAAAATTGACCAATGTGCTAATAATCAATACTTGTTGTTTCTGATAAATTTGGGTCTCAGTTCTACGTACTAAAAGGGATATATTATGTATCCTTTGAAGAATAGAATCCTGCTGGGATTATTGGCAATCCAGTTACATTGTAATTGTTATTGTATAGACAAAGGCAAACTGCAGAATGGAAAAAGGTGCTTTGTCATGGGTTAAATATATTTTAAGATCAAATGATGCCTTCTTTTCGGAAAGATTTTTCTTCATGTCAAAGATCAGTTTTAAAAGGAAATTAAACCTTTTGACTCCAACTAATAAATAGATAAATTAATTTTCTCTTTACCGCTGATGCTCAATTTATTAATATAACCAGACTAGTTTTTTTTTTTTTTTTTTGCTTTTCTCCAATCTACAAATAGCCAGTCATATCTTTCAGCTGCTAATTAAATGAAGTTATGCACACGGTTGTTTCATCTGGTGGTTCAAAAAGACTGTGACCAAGCTCATTACTGGATCTGTAAAAGCACAGAAATAGTTGCTCTACTACTCTGACTCCCTGTCAGATTCTGTACAGGTTTATGAAGCTCTTTTCCTGTAAAGCCTGATATAATCAACCCACTGAGCACATCAGACTCACAGTTTTTCTTAAGCTTTTCGGGTCCTGGGGTTAAGCACATTAAATCCTCATCAAAGACCTGATGTAGGTAGTTATGGTTAACTCAGTCAGTTGTTAAATGGGAGAAACGAAGCACTGCTCATTGAAGTATTTTCTTGGGAGCTCAGAAACGTATCATTTCTCCCCCAAGCAAATATACCGTTATGAAGAGACAATGACTCTTGTTTTCTCACGATAACACATTTTTCTTGCTGTCTTGAGACAACCACACAACAAATATTTATAGTGAGCATGCCTGCCCTCAGCTTCTGTGAATCATTACTATTGCAACAGCAGAAATGATTTCAGATAATGTAAGTGAAACTGTAATTGCAACACTCTTCACATTTATTGACACCCCTTGTAATTATGCATTAAAAGCCTCAAAATAAACAAACCCTCAAACTGCTGTGTGAAGTTTCCGCTACAGTTTTATAACACTTCAGTTTTTTTTTTTTTTTTACTATGTTTCTCACTGTGAGTAAAAACTTTGGTCTTCATTCAGCCACAGTTATGATTGTTTGAAATGTTTTAATTATTCTCTCTGACTGTAGATTGTTGCTGTTTCGTGACTTATACAAATGAACACGTGTCTTGCTTGACGTGTGTTTCCTGTTTTGAGGAGTGGCTAAAAGAAATGGTCCTCTATGTCATGTCACAGCAAGAAGTCCTGGATTACTAATTCAGATTTACTGGATAATTTAAAAAAAGCAAAGTATTTGTTAAAAATACTTCGGTAATGATTATTTTATGTCAACAGAACTAACTGTAATATTTGCATAACATGCTCTTCATACTTCAAAACAAATTGTTTGTCAGTGGAACATTGCTGAGATGATAAAATAATGGAGCATTTGTGAAATGAGATGGAACATCTCTTTCAAGTTTAACGTTTTTTTTTTTTTCTTTTCCTTTTACTTGAGAGATAAACATGAACCTCTTCAGTCCTCCTTATCAGGAGAATGTAGATGTTCAACAGAGTTTGTCCTTAAAAGGACCGGAGTTGTAACAGTTTGTTTCTGTTGATGGATCGAATGCTGGATCTCAAAAAAATACCAGTAGTCCAGAAAAAAAATATTTGTTTTTAATATATGAATTATGCACATCTAGCATAGTAGAGTTATAGTTTCAAAAATAAAGATGCTGAACTGTGCATAATGGGTCGTCTTAAATATTAATAAGGTCACTGATATTTTTAGCAACAGCATGGGGTTTAGCAGTGGGTTTCATTGATGCAGTTCATGCAGACAAGATCTATGTGAACAACTGAAAATGTTGGAATGCATTTTATGATGGGAGGAAAATGATCATTTTATGTGAATATTGCATACTATGACAAAAAAAAAGCAGTATAGAGGAAACTGATTCAGAGATTAAGAAAATGTTTTTGTAAGACTTTCTAATAAGATAAAGATAACTGTTTAGGATTCAAGTTAGACTCTCTGCATGTGGATTATAGTCCTTTAAAATAAATTAATAAATAAAACCCCGGCGTTGCGTGACAGAGGACTTCATCATGTTTTGTGTGCATTGAAATCTAAAATTCAAACAAAGGCTGCCAGATTTGAGTGCGATTTAGAAAAGAACATACAGTGTAATGAAATATTCATAAGTGTGATGTATTCCTGACAGGAGGGCCTACTAAATGTGGAGACTGTGGAGAATGAGGACGAGCTGACAGGGGTGGAGATCAGCTGTCTGAGACTGAAAGGGCAGATGATTTATTTGCCTGAGGCAGAGAACATCCTTTTCCTTTGCTCGCCCAGGTAAACCTACTGCGCTCTCTGTTTTCACACAAGCTACAGCTGATATGTGCACTCAAACCGCAGCTCCGCTTCACACACCTCTTTCTGGTGAATTATAATCTAATAATCTACCTGGCTAATAAAATCTATAATAGCTTTGCACCTCATGTCTCAGATGAGTTTCAATTAGTAGCAGGAACAGATGTACGAATGAAAATAATTCCTGTTTGAAAGTAATTTATTCATTGATCTACTTTTTTTTTTTTTTTTTGTAAATACAACATTACCTTGATTTCCTGATCTGCTGGCGTTCGTCACAGAACTGGCTATCTTAGGAGAGTAAAACAGTGAATCTAATTCTGATTTGCCATTTTTGATTTGAAATGCAGCCGTACTGGTCATAGATTATTTGCTGGATATCTGAGATGAAGATTAACAGGGCAGTTTTTGAACCCTTTTTATTTTCACTGCTCCCTTTGATCATGCTTTATATTTTGGTTCACAGCTCACTAAATAATATTGTAAGATCTTGTCCTGCCTCAGATTGTCCCTCTCCTGTTTTACCATACATTTTCCCTTTCTTCTAGAAAAAGTTGAACATGTTATTTATTTTCTTATTGTTTTTGGAGGATAGCTGTCTAACCAAATGTCTGACACTTTCTTTCCAAAAGTATTTGTTCATCCCTCCAAATAATTGAATTCAGGTGTTCAGAACACGTTTATGTCCACAAGTGTGTAAAGTCCAACACTGAGGGGCGCAGAGTGCTTCTGCGAGCATGTCTAAAATAACTGGTCACTGTTAGGAGATCGGTGATTTCCGGTGTGGTAACAATGTGGGATGCCAACTGAATCTTTCTCACCACTAAGTATTCAACAAGCCAGTATTAGTGGCATTATATCAAAGTGGAAAATAATTGGAGGCACTGCAATTCAAATTGGGAGGTCATGTAAAACCACAGTGCGGAGTCTTGAGGTTGCTTTCTGCAGAGTCAGCAGCTGTAGATCTCCAAACCTCATGTGGCCTTCAGATTAGCTCAGAACAGAGCGCACACAGCTTCCTTGAACGGTTTTCTACGACCAGCTGCATCCGAGCCGTTCGTCTCCAATGCGCTCGTAGGTAATCATTGTTCATCAAAAACCATAAGCTTAGATAAAGCAGAAGACTGGACTTGAATTCAAAATGAATAGAGGATCCCTGATGTAATTGCTGTATATGTTTTGTTGATTTATACTTAGGGGTTAAAGTAAAATCTAGAAGAAACCACAGTGTCACAGAATGTAGACCAAAATAAAGAGTCCAAACTTAAAGTTACATCAAAATTGCAAGCTTTGAAAAAGCTAATAAACGGCTCGACTAATCTGAACTAAAGGTTAAACTTAAAGGAAGTGGATTATTGAGTAGAGGAAAGTCGTAGCTCTGCTTGCTTTGAAAAGGTCTGTGTTCATGTTGCCAGATTGTTTCATGACAACAGAGGTTAGAAGTGGGTGGACTGAATCCCACAGAGGGAGGGAGGTCAGCCATTAATATCCTGGCTGCTTCACCTTTAGCTAGAGAGTAATTGCTTGATTCTACAACGAGGTTTAAAGTGTATATATTTGGACTCAATCTAGTGATTTAGTTTCTTGAAGTTGATTTAGTTTTTTTGCGGCATGCATAATCTTGTCATATTTCCGTGCAGAGATATGACAAATGTTTGAAGAAAATCATCTGTAGCTCAAAAACTGAGCTGTTTCTGCAAACATGAAAACAAGAAAACGCCCAATCCACTGCTTCCACCAGATACTTGCTGAAATATTTCAATCTTAATCGTGTTGATGCCATTTAACCCTCGTTAGCCTCCAAGTCTAACAGTCAGGAAGCAGATTTTCTGAGAACAAGTGAGTGAACTGCATGCCAAACGGAGTTGAAGAAATGTGTTGTTGCTGAAGCAGACTGTTGGTGAGAAGAGACTGTTCTGTTGAAACAGTTCATTATATAACCCAGATTCACTGAAGGGAGTCGATTTGTTCTGACAGAGCCAAGCATGAAGGCTTCACAAAAATGCAAGAAACTAGATGAGAATATATGTGATGAAGAATAATCAGTTACAATTATTTAAACTTCTGAACAGTTTGTGGCATTATGACCAAAAGCTTTAATGTACTGGATTTGGCTTGTATGCGATGGACTATAACATAAAGCAGTATGTCAGAGGGAAAATATTACAATTGCTTAGACTTGATGTAACCATGGTTATGTTTTGATATGTACTTTTGACTGCATGTTTATGTTAGTTTCCCCACTGAATGGTGAACCTTTGCAGCCTAGAACAGATTTTCTTCTAGAATCTAGCTCCATCTATCTTCCCATCCACTCCAACCAACTTCCCGGACCCTGATAGGGAACAGGATAACCACAGCATGATGCTGCCTCTACAGTTGTTTCATGACAGGGATGATGTGTTTTGGATTTGCACAGCACATAATGTTTGCATATGAGCAAATAAAAAAGGTAAAAGGACTTTTAAAAAAAACATCAAAATGTCTGCACCAAAATATTTTGATATAAATTTCTGTTGTAGTGCAGGTATTTGATTTTAAGTTTAGGATTTTTTTTTCTCTCCAGCCTTTTATAAACACACATGTAGTTAAATGGTAAGAGAGAAAAATTAGAGAAGAAGATGATAAGTAGGTAGATACTTGGGATAATTCATCGTGGCCTCCATTAGCCTCCTGGCATGACCTTTTTGGGGAATTTGCTGACATAATTGTTGCAGGAAAGTAATGTTCTGTGGACCTTGTCCTATTTGTCTAAACGGGCTTTCAAGTGGTTTTGCTAAAAGGTGCCTGTCCAGACAAAACTAACCCACGGGAGCTAAAAGCATGAACATTTCCCATTCATCTTATCAGGGGGAGTCATATCGAGCTGTGTCTGACCTCACTGAACAAGATCATTTATTAGGAGGCAGACGGCTCTGCCAGAGTGATGACATCACTGCTCCGTGATCTATTTATTTTATTCCCTTTCAGAGAAGAGTACGAGTAGTTTCTGTTTAACCAGAGAAGTGCTTATTTCAGTTTATATATAAAAATAGCTCTAAAATTCACCGTTTTCTCCTTTCTGTCTCGATTTGCTGCGCGTTTCTGTGGTTAGTGTTATGAACCTGGACGATCTGACGAGGAGGGGGCTCTACCTGAGTGACATCCCGCTACATGACGCCACGCGTGACCTGGTGCTGCTGGGGGAACAGTTTCGTGAGGAGTACAAGCTAACGCAGGAGCTGGAAATTTTGACGGATCGCCTCCAGCACACACTGCGGGCCCTGGAGGACGAGAAGAAGAAGACGGACAGGTTTCCCGTTTCTTGCGTAAAAATGAGTTAGCTTTAACCTCACAACCAGCACCCTCCACTATTATCCCTTCCCCAGCTACAAAGGCCTCAAGATATCAGTGGTTGTCTCAGAGATTTGGTCAACCTTGAGATCATTTGTCTCAGTCTTACTTGAGCAGTTGTGTCCGTTTGAAGCTCTTGTACTGAATTTGGGAAACCTCCTGCTACAACAGTACACATTTTCCCTGCAAGTATAGCTGTTCATAGCAGACAGAAAATAAAAATAAAATATTTTTTTAATTATTAATTTTTTTTAAAATAGAAAATTTTCCTTACAAAGTATTTGTCCGTTTCAAAACCAGTTTTTTACTGTCATTTTAATTGTATCGAAACTACAATAACAAACATATCATGATTTTTACGTTGAAGCTGAATTGTTGTTTTTATTTGTTCTCTTGAGATTTAGTTTTTTCTCGCTGAATAAAGGCACCAAAATAAGTGTGAGATTATACTGCTTAAATGTGAAATAAATTTGTACTTAAGGTTTTTAACGCATTGTTAACAGAGTGACCAATAAATGTCAATGGCACAATAAATTCCAGAGGCTTTTAATAGTGGAGCTAGCTATTGTATCCACCTAAAATGAATGGCACGCAAATTAATCTAAATGTCAGTACATTAGATCAAAATAATGTTTTTCACCAAAACTACCAACAGTCACATATTTAACACACAATGGCTCTCGGTTTTCTCATTTTTTCCGTTCTGTCCTTTTTCATGTTACACAATAAATAAGAATAAAATCAGAAATGCTCCTCAGTGGAAAACGGGTTAAACAGAAGAAAGAGATTTTATAGGTGCAATTTCTCCTCTAAAATTGATCACACTTATAATGATTTTTTTTTTACATTTTAAGAAATTTGAAGCACCCCAGTTTAAACATTACTTCGGAGGTATGTTAGAACATTTTCCCACACTTGGACACAGTTCCTATGCACCAAAATATGTCATGATAGAAAATGAGGGGGACAACCACTTCAGATATCATTAAGTTAATTAACAAAGCATGAATTTCACAGATGAACATGCCTTTGATAATAATTTTGAGGTTTTTTTTTTTTAAAGAGTGAAGCAAACCTTTGTTACTATAACTCAAAAATTGGCTGACAATTGTCAGAGATATTTATAAACACAAGTCTGGAAATTGTGAAATGGAAAATGTGATGCAGCCGTTTGACGAAAAGCTTTTTTTATTATTATTATTCACACCCAGTTCAAGCACTGTATGCAAACTATTTCTCTGTAGTGCATCATTTAGGAAATTAATTACATACAGCAGCCTAGTCATTATCTCAATGCTGTGAGTCAGCCTCAAAGTCATTCTGTTGCAACATGGGTGTTAAAGCAAAGTGTTAGATTGTTCATTAGTGCATGTTGTAGTGTGATGTAAAAAAAAAAAAAAAGAAGCAGTGTGAAGGATTCCCTATTAAGGTCAAACCCCAAACCAGGAACAGTTGAGATACAGAAACAAACAGGTCTGAGTCTCGTAGTGCTGTCAGAACGCTGCATGGCAACAGGAGCACCTGGGGTCGGACTTTATTATGCAGGTTGATATTTACCAAAGCTAATCTTCAGGCCCTGTTAGGATTAAAATGGTTTAGAAGTTGGCCTGTCATAGCAGAAGGCTGGAGCTGGAGATGATCACAGCAGTGGAGCATGATGGTATTTAAGACTGTTGTGCCAGTTCGTTGCCATTGGATAGCTATAATGTTATTCTACACATAGCATAGCATCTCTAAATGCGGAATAAAGTTCTCTTAATATTTAAATAAGCTGCAGGTTGTTTACAGCTTTAAAGTTTCTTATGTACTGGCATCTCAGTAAATCTTTGTAGGGTTCATTTATTTCAGTACCAATCAGATGGCCTCGTTTTTTATTGTAATTTTAGGAGCAACAATATTGTCAGTACTGAAAGCCTCAGTCTCAGAAGAAAAGCATTAGACTCAAATACGGTGGTGGTAGTTCGATGGTCCGGCATTTTACTCTGTGTGAAAATTCAGGAGAACTGAAGCTGATTTTGCTCTTCATCAGACACAAACTCAACATATTTAAACTACAAATTCCAAACTAATTTGATAAACAGAAGATATTTTGACAGGTTATTGTTATGCGTCACATCCCCTGATGCCTCAAGTGTATTGCACCAGGAAAGTTTCTTAGATTTTAACAAGGCAGCCATGATCTAACTGTTACCATAGTAACACCAGCCCGTTTTTTTATTATCTGAGAGCAGCTTGCATGGTGAAGCTACCACAAGGTAGTGGGAGAACAAAAGAGATGCTGATAAGATGAACTTCAGTCTGGAAGCCCTGATTCCTCCCCCACCCCCCCGCATAACTGTGTGTCTGCTCTGAATAAAGCATTTTTGCTCCTCTTCCTCTTTTCAGGCTGCTCTATTCTGTTCTGCCACCATCTGTTGCCAACGAGCTGCGCCACAAGCGCCCCGTCCCGGCGAAGCGTTACGACAACGTCACCATCCTGTTCAGCGGCATCGTGGGATTCAACGCTTTCTGCAGCAAGCACGCCTCAGCTGAGGGAGCCATCAAGATAGTTAACCTGCTCAACGATGTTTACACGCGCTTCGACATCTTGACGGACTCTCGGAAGAACCCTTATGTATACAAGGTTGGAAGCAAGAACGTTACCACCGCAGTTTATCAGGCTTTTGTGTAATTTTATTTCGGACTAAGAAAAACAGGTGGGATTAAAAAAAGGAAGCAAGGATTATTTTGAGATGACAATTTCTCTTCTGGTCCTCTGGTTATTTGTACCAGTGTGATTAATAGTAATTATACAATCTTGCACATACAACTCAGCACAGGTATATTTATATCTTGATTTTTTTTTTTTTTTTTTCATGACTAGCTCTAACTCCTAAACTCAGTGGAGTTTTACAGGGCGACTGCACAATTTTATAGACCCGGTGCAGCAGATTTACACCCCAGGCTTTCAGACAAGAATGCACTTTGAGAAGTCAAACAGACCCTGGCACTTCCAGGGGATCGGCTTCACTACTCTGGGTCACCAAAAGAAGTAATATTTACTCGACAAACTGAATGGCTTGGTGGTCCTGGGGTATTAGCAGGCCTCAAGAGAAGCCCTGAATGCCTCGTGGCTGATGTAAGTGTTTACTCACGGGCTGTTTCGGTTCATTCTGACCTTCACGGAGGCTCCCTTTATAGAAAGGTGGGAATTCTGTAAGAAGCGTTAAATAAAGAGAAGCACTTTAACTTATCATGCCACATTTAAATGGGAAATTATTTGTCTTTCACAGGTGGAAACAGTCGGTGATAAGTACATGACAGTGAGCGGTTTGCCAGAGCCTTGCACGCACCATGCCAAGTCCATCTGCCACCTTGCCCTTGATATGATGGAGATAGCAGGACAAGTCAAAGTGGATGATGAGCCAGTACAGGTGTGATTAAGAAAACAGAATATAAAAATAGTATTGGAATCTCACAGAATATACGGCTAAGCATTCATATACTATGCTTTACACTTTCAGAGGCAGAAGCATAGAAGACGGTTTTAGGACTCCACAAAAAAAAAAATGTTGAGTGACATCAGGTGATATTATCTAAAATTATATTTTGAAATAATTTTAGATAATTCACCAACTTATTAGTACCTGTGGGAAAAGTGTGTAAAAAGCCATAAAATAAATGGATGTTTTATTCCTGTGTTGTTACTCAATAGGTGTTAAATAGATTTTCCTTGTGTTAATGATCATTAATCAGTTGGTGTACAAACTGATCGCTGTTTCGAAAAAAAAAAGTATGAGTGCATTGATTGCAGTTTTCTGGCCGATCGAAATTGAAAATGGACTGACTGATTTTGGCCTATACCGATTTGTTTCTGTACCAAATGAGTTGGAAAGTTGGCAACAGTAAGCAGACTATTAAGAATATCCCTCTATCAGAGCCTTGTGGTGGTAGAAAAGATTGGATAAGGTCAGTTTCTAATGTAAATATTGACTGATTGTCGATTGCCTAAAATTAAAGAAATCAAGATAGAGCAATCTTTGTATTTCACAAAAATTATCCCCCTTCTCCCCCAAAAAGCCAAGTCCCTAAGGGAAACACTGAACTGTAAAACAGGGATGGATTTGAAAGGTTTAACACATCTTTATCTAGAGTGCTCACGACTGACTACACAATATAGTAGATATATAATATAATAGATTGGCACTTTTTTTTTTTTTTTACTAACAGTAGGCAGGACTGTAAGTGGGTTTTCTTTCTCTGTGAAATGGTTTTGCGTTGGTGAAACAGTTTGTCTGTTTTGGCACATAATTTAATGATTGTCCGTCTGTTTTCCTTCACATATTTAATTATTTCTGCAGCTTTTTTAGCAATGCATCTGTTACTTTGGCATAGATGATACAAACACTTGGGAGCTCTGTTTTGTGTTTTTTTTTTTTGTTGTTCATTAATCTTTGAATACATTTTTGAATATCTATGCATCCAGACATATTTTTGCATTATAACAGGTTGGTGGGAGACTGAAACATTTGTTTAATGGACTGATGTCAATTGTTATTGTAACTTTGACTGTTGAAACCTTCCACTGTAAAATAATATCTAGGTAATGAAAGCATGTTTACTGTACGATGTGGCTCTGGCAAAAAAGATGAGTCCAGTTACGTAGCAGGAGCTCGCTCAACTCATCTCGTGATGCTTGCGACAAAAATAGATGCCTGTTCGTCCCAGACACTCACAGCACATCTATGCTTTCTGGAAAGCAAGCGCTGAGAAGTGCCCACAGCTCTGAGGATAAGTCGTAGTCTCTAAGTTGTCCTTCCTGCAGATTTAAAGATAATTATCTCAAGAAAAACAGAGATAATTTCTAATTTTGATCCTGGAGCACAAATTCCTGGCAGAGTGAATCTTATATCCACCCACTAAATGTTGCACCTTTTCATTTGAAAGCTTAGAGTTGTGTGAACAGACTGAAAAGACAAGAGAATTATAATTATTGTTTGCAAGCCGAATACAACCTGAACCCTTCTTTATCTTAATGCTTTTAATGTTTTGAGACATTTTTTCTGCAGTGTTTTTCTTTTTTAAAGATGTCTTTTTTTTTTTTTTTTGCCCCCATGGCCTTTTTTTGAAATTTAAATCGGACAAAAGTTGGTTTTGGATTGGGGGG